AGTCTTCAATGCAAATATATGTGCTTCTTAACTTGAAACAGGAAGAGTCTGATAGCGAAAATGAAGAAGAACATCAGGAAGAAGAAGGCGAAGTAGATGATGTTCAGCTCTTTGCCGATGAAAAATTTGATCCTGAATTTAGGGTTTCTACATGGGAACAAACCATACTTGGTAAGTTGTTGAGATTTGGACTGTCTGCTTTTGACCTATGAGTGGGAACCAATCATACTGGGTAACTTGTTTTGACTTTTGCAAGCAGCTTTTGACATATGAGTGGTAAGCAAACGAGATGGCACATATTATGAGTATACGATTTGTTAGCGGTGAATGGTTCTGTGAAATGAGTACGATGCTTGTCGAAAAATTAACTATACTTGTTTGTTTTGAATCAGAAAGTTTGCTTTTTGAACTTAAGTCTTGACTTGTCACGGCCACTTTTGAGAAAACGTGTTCGTTTGCGGTTTTTCTGTCCTCATGTAAACAATACAACTCAACTAAAAATTGTCTGAAATCGTTTTCCGNAGAGATGGAGAGATAAAGAGATGTTTTTAGAAGTTGTATTAAATACTACGGACAGAAAAGATCGCTTTTAAATCAATGGCATTCGTGAACTCTTATAAAGTTTCAAAAGATAACTTCTTTTGACAAACTGAACGAAAGCCGTCGCGAGTACCATTATAAATTAGGCTGTATCATCTAAGTGCATTGTATATTTCAGTCATTAGAGACATCAGACTTGCAAGATGTAGGTGCCATTCAAAAGCCAGACTTTGTGGCCCATCCCGAAAAATATTTCAGCGAGAGATCGGCAGGAAAGCGTCGCAGCACAGATATCACATTGCCTACTTTACCCAGTGTAACTGATCGTAAGTAACATTTCTTCTTAATACGATATGATTATCCTGTTTGAGATTTAAGGTCGGGACACACTAGGAGACATGTTGAGGGTACATGAACCGGGGACATGTGGTAGCAACAATTTTTCTCGTGTGACCTGTCGGATTTTAAGAAAATGTTCTGTTGAGGGGACAATAAGCCCTTATTGACTGGTCCCAAGGGAAAGAGTGAGTGTTGCTTTGAGCTGGGAGGTATAACAAAATGTTTTGTCAACACATTCCATGAAATTCAGTTGGCTTGAATTCGTGCGTCATGAAGCACGGGCAAAATGACCTCAATTTTCAAAGTGGCGTCGTGTGCACTGCTCTTACAAACTGTCCCCGCAACAATACGTATTTATGCCTCATACCGCTTCGCTTGCACCAGCTTGAGTACTGTCGACCACGCAACATGCGTTCTATGNAAACAAAGTCACGTGGGTCGCACGATACTCCTCAAGCCAATTCCAAGAAACTGGCAGGGTGGAGAGTTCTATTGACCGGTAAAGGCAAGGATATGTAGCAGTGAAATTGCTCTTTTAACGATGGGATTGTCAATGGAAAGATTTCAATCAAGGGGAGATTTCTGCCATGTTTGCCACATCACAACACGAATACGCCAACAGACTACACCGAAATTGTTGTATTTACATCTATTCGTAGTTTGCTTCCCCATGTCAAGCTATGTTAACTCAATTTGCATTGATAATTTATTCCCTGGGGATTATGCAAATGACAGTATAGAAAAATTTACATTTGTTCCACCCCATGATCACTCTACTCGAGGCCTCGAAAGCTTTCTGCCTGGTATTAGGCTTGTCCCAAGCCTGAGCGATTC